CTTTCAGTGGACAAAGCTAGAGAATACCTATCTGTCTATCTATCCACCCATCTATTGAGAGAATATATATATGTACTCACACATCTGTATTTATTTCTAAATCTATAAATCTGTGCATTTACTACAAATCATGGACTCATTTGGATAACTTCTGATTCCAACCCAACACTCCAGGCTTCTTTCAAGTCTTTCTCTTTCCTTATTTGTAAGTGTTTTCTCCAACAGTGAGAAATTTGCTCTCATTATCCAAATCTCATTACATATTTGCTCAGTCCTAGCATATACATAAAATAATTTCAGAATTGCTACCATCTCTTTTGAAAAATTTAGTCACTAGTGCATATTATTTGTCTACAATTCTTTCTGTATTTCACCTTTTCCAATCAAAATAGTATTTTCCAAAGTTACTCAGGTTAGCTTCTATCTTTGCCACAGTGTGCTTATGTTGTTCATTTGTTGTACTGCTAGGTTCATTGGTTACTGTTTGTATTTCACTTTGGGTTCCTCCCACATCCTGGTTGGTGTTAACTACTTGTTTTTTGCTGGGGTGTGTGAAACCGTACCACAGTCCTCAGAGTCAGAGCTATACAAAAAGGTATGCTCACAGAGGTATCACTCTCTCCCTCATCCTTTCTACCCTCTTCCCTATTCCCGTCCACCCTTGTAGGAAACCAGTCCCATAGTCTCTGGCTTATTCATCCTGTATTTCTTTTGCAAGAATGATTCCCTGCCAAATCTTGGTGGTAAATGGACAAACACAGTGGCCAAGGCTTAAAATGACATGGTAATAAAGTACCCTTCATATGGATTTCTCAAGGATGAAGATGTGTGTGTAGGTGTTTGCTACAACAGGCAAGCTACTTAGATCAGGAGAGGTGCTAGCCAAGGGTGAGAAGATTCTAGAATGGATAGTAGGGGAGGCAGGTGACGAATATCAGTGTAGCCTTGAGATGAGCTGCAGCAGTAGGGGCTGTGGTTCATCTACTAGCTGTCTTCTGACAAATTTCTCCAGAAAAGGAGATCATCCAGAATCTTAGAAATATTCATGGCTGAGATTAACTTATTATTAAGTGGTAAGTGGATCCAAGCAGTGCAAGAGGTGGAACGTGGTGAATGGTATGGTGCATCTCCAAGTCCCAGGCACCCCATTCAAGATGGAGACACCCATTCCTCCAGCCTCATAAGTACCTGACACATCAGTGTGTGCGTGAAAGAGAACCTTACCTTTCCATGAGATAAGAGCAGAGAGTAACAGACAAAATAATAGCAAAAAGCACAAGGTGCATTTTAATGTTAACGTTCGCCACTGAGGGGCAAGAGTAAGTCAGCAAGAGGCTGGGAGTTGAGACTTGGTTTGGAGGTGGAGGAGTCAGAAGGCTTGTGGAATGGCCTGCCAGACAGCACACCAGAATTGGTGGGCATGTCTAACTTTTCTCCACTATTCACCACTTCTTTCTCCCTTTCCTTTCTGCCCTGAACACACTGATCTCACAAGTTATTCTGGCTGCTGCAGTTTAGCCAAGATAAGGCTGGAATTTCTTGAAAATAAATTTACTATTTGGCTGTCAAGTTTGCGTAGGCCTTCCCATTGTGGGTACGGTGGGTCTTTTAACAGTAATAGAACAAATCTTCCACCTCCATCACCAAGTATTTCCTAGCCAGCCCCTGGGGCCCCAACATGATGTACTGCACCATTAATACCTCCTAACATCAAAGTCTCTTGAGGAAGGGCCCCTCAGCACAGCCTCTACTTCAGCTTTTTCTTTGTAAAGTTGATGCCCGTATGCTGATTCTGGTGTTGCCAAAACCACACATCCTAGAGGCATCAAAGCAGTTCCCCTTGGGCTGAAGAAATGGAGTTGTTCACAGAAGTGGGGGGAGATGTCACTCTCTTCATGAAGACTATAGAGTAGTGCTTGTCCCTCCAAATTCCAGCTTTCCCCCAGAAACCTTTGCAGAGAAAAACAAAACAATAAACTTCACCTTCCTCTTCCAGCCAAAAATCCAACATTATGTCTATAAATGCTGGTGGCTCGACCCACTAAATCCAAGCAAATCTGAATCCCAGTTTAGGCTCATAGAGGAACTGGTACAAGTACAGGAATCTAAAAGAAAAATAAAATGGAAATGGAAGAAGGTAGATTCCTTGACTCAAAGACAAAGAACTGTGGCCCACAAGCCCACCCAGCCTGGCTGTGCTTCCTTGGCAGCGTTCTCAGCTGTTGGTACAAGTGTGCCCATTCCCCCAACCCCAGTGCTTTGCTCTGCAGGACTGCCAGCACTTGGGACAGTCAGTGCCTGGCACAGAGTGGGGACTCAAAAAACACTGGTTGATAGAGGTAGATAAAAAAGAACCCAGGGATGAAGAAATGGCACAACCACATTCCTCTCTCTGTGCAGCTTCTAATGACTGACCTGGTATCTGGACCTTAGAGTAAGAACAGGGCTCCCACGGCCCAAGGATGCTCCTCAGGGTTCTGCATCATCTCCCAACCCCGAAGTATTCTCCCTCTAACTCCTCCTCCCTCTTTACCACGCACCTCCTTTTCTGGAGGAGCTCTGTGGTTCTGCTTCCCCTCTAGCTCCACTTCTCCGTCCATCACAGGTTTGCCAGCAGAACCACAGGCACCACTGGTGGGCAAGGTGGGGCTCCAGGCCCTACTGCTGAGCCCAACTTTGTTACCTATTTGGCTAAATTCTGGGCTTAATCTGACTTGTTAATGTTTTAAAGTATCCTGTTTTAAGTTAATGTTACCACTGCAATGTACCTCAAATGCTTTTTTTTCTAAATAGACTTTATTAGAATAACTTTAGACTTGCAAAACGTTGAGGAGATAGTACTGAGATTTCCTATTTATCCTGCACCCAGTTTCCCTTATGAATAACACCTTACATTACTATTGTATATATTTGTATATATTATATACAAATCAGTATATATGTTACATATATTATACTATATATAGTATATATGATATATATACTATATATACCTTTATCAATTATGTAAAAATATATTTTAAATTTGTAAACATTATATTTAGATAATATATAAATAAAATTATATGTAACTTATATACAAGTATTATATGTACACTATATATAATATATATATATATTAGTATATATTTGTTACAATCGATGAGCCAATACTGACACATTATCTGATAAATTAAATCCTATACTTTGCTTGATTTCCTCAGTTTTCACCCAATGTCCTTTTTCTGTGCACAGATGCATGCAGCTCTCTTCATGTGCGCAGGTGATGCGTACCGATCTTCATTTGCTCACATGGCACATGCCTATCCTTGTACGCACAGATGACATGTACTAAAATGCACAAATTACATGTCTTAACTCATGGGATAATGAAATCTGACATGTGGTAAAGTGCTTTATAATGCACATTCACAGTATTTGCTAACTGTTCAAGTTCAAACTGTGTCAGATTTTTCTTTCATGCATGGGATCTGCTTATGAAATTTGGGGCTATACTAAGACAACCATTTAGCATCTTAACTGTTATGATTCCAAACAGAGCTTCCAAAGGTAAAGTTAAAGGTATAAATCTTGCCATCAAAGATGGGGAGCAAATCACACAGGGCAGAACCAATCAGTCTACCACAGTGGTTAAGTCTCCATCAGCATGACCACAATGCGATCTGCCATTTGAAGTGGATATTGATAGATCTGCTTAGCACTATCTTTTCCTCTAGGAAGTGCCTCTGCCATCCCCTCCAGAGCTGCCATGTTAGTACACTGTGACCTGCTCTGGGTCATTTGATCACTGCAATGATGAGCACTTGACCCAGCTGGGTCAAACCGAGTCCTTGACTAGGATTTTGTCACAGGAACTTAAAAAGACAGTTACTCTTTCTTTGGTGACCAAAGCTGTGAACAGTGAGATTGTCAGTGACCATGTGAAGAAAGTCTATGTGCAAGCAGAAAGAGTAATGCAACCAATAGGCACACACAAAATACATACACAGGGAGACAGAGACAGACATGGAGGCATTTGAGCATATGAGTTCTTGGTTCCGATATGGCTGTTGCATTTCATGAAGAATGCCCTAAAATCTTTGACCAAGTCTTTCTTCTTGCTCAGACTAGTCAGGGATTACTTCCAGTCAAAACAGCCTTAACCAGTGCAGAATAATTGATAATCAGTGTGACATTATTTCTAATATACCACAATAGATACCCACTGAGATGCAAACCTGTGACAGACATTATTTCAGTTCTCAAAAGTTATAGCTGCAGTCCAGATCTCCTGTTAAAGCTGGTTAATTTGGTATGTTAACTTTTCAGAAATTTTCCAAATACACATTTACACTAAATACTTAAGTATTATCATAAGTACTTGAGACACTTTTAAGATAGTTAAGTTTGCACAGTAAACTTTTATTGATCTGGCTTTCAAACAAGAGGAGATTTAGAGTTACTAAATTTTTCCTCTTCTCGATTTTATTGAAACAAATGAAAAAGACATTGTAACTAAGGGAACTATTCTAAAAAACACCTTTTGGGACACAATTTGCGGTCAACACCAAACCTGCAATATTATGCACATGTCAGTGCCTGAATCAGCAAAACAATATTAAGCACATTTTGACCTTGTTTTGGTATTTTAGTCCACCATAATTCCATGGATATAATTTGTTTAGAATTCATGTATGAGCATCATGGTAATGAGAGCTAACACTTCTGAGTGCTGACCATATACCAGGCAGGCACTGTTCTAGGCGCCTAACATATATTAACTCCTTTAATCTTCACAGAAATCCTAATAGGCAGATACTGTTGTTATCTTCATTCAAGATAACAGAGTTTAATTCACCCAAGGTTATATAACCCTTATGAGGTGAAGCTGTACACAGAATAACCTGAACACTAGAGTCCATACTTAGGTAGGTAACTAAGATAGTTAATCATAGTAGCTCTCATGTAAGTAGCATATTCAACTAACAGGACATCCTATTTTTCAAGTACTTTGGAAAGGATTTTAATGTAGTATTTATTTACAAAATTCTTTGGATTTGTAGAATACCTATTGGGTATCAATGAGGCAAAGATCTATGCAGTGAAGTTTTCTTCTATGACCGTTTAGGTCTCTTGCATACGTGTAAGCCTAAATCCTTTGACTTGCAATAAAGTAACATGGTGGATCTCTTTAAGGCACAGACAGCCCCTACTAGGCTCTCATTTCCTTATGGTGAGAGCAAATTTGAGGCTTCACATCTCTGGGTAAAAATCAGAGCCATTCTTAGGCCACAAGTCCCTGTGTACCTCACAGGTCTCCACTGGGGCATTGTGCTTTAGCCTTATATTTCTCCCATCACAAGATCTTTAGATAAGACATTCCCTCTCACAGACACAGCCACTTTATCAGTGCCACCTAGCCAAATTCTATTCATCTTTTAGGCCTTCCCAGACCCACAGACCAAGTTTGGTTTTCTTCTTTATAATTGTTCACAGCATCTTGTACTTCCTTCTTGTAGTATCTATGAAAATGCTAACAGAAAAATTGTCTTATTACTGAATATGTCTCTGTCTCTGGTGTAAGCTCCATGTGGGCAGGGGTAGTAGTTGTCTTGTTCATTGCTACATCCCCAGCTCTTAGCTCACAGCTTAGCACATAGTTAGTGCCAAATAAATATTTGTGAACTGGGTAGAATTACCAGCTACCAGCTGAAGAGGAAATAGTCTCCTTGGCATTGACTATGCCTGCTGAGTGGAGAAGAAGCCCTGCCCAGGGAGACACAGAGAGTGCTGAAGCACCTTGGCAGAGGGTTGGTAAAATCAGAGGATAAATTAATACACCTACACAATTTTTAAGTGATTAGTGAATGTTGAGGGTAAAATTATTATTTTGTGAGTAATAAAATACAGTCCCATTTTAATAGTGCTAAAATCTTGATCAAAGAAATTTCAGTTGACAACACAGAGGGCCAAAACGTTTTGATGATATTGTGCCATTCTACCAAGTGTGCTTCAATTTTAGTTGTATCCCTTTTTATGTTTATTTTTTAATCTGTTTTTTGCAAATGTTTTATCATCTGTTTACTACTGATTCCTCGAAACAGTCCTATTGCGGAGAGCTGGTGCCATGGCGATGAAGAAATGTTTCCCCTTTCAAAGACTCTGTATTTTTTGGACGATAAGGTTGCTAAAGAGGAAGCAATCAAACCTATCGGGCGGGCTCTTGTCCTCCACTGAGCGCGCTGCTTCCTGGTCTTAAAACGCTTTCGGATCCTCCTGTGAATTGTTTTAGATAAATACACCCGGATTGGATTGCCTTTCACTTTTTGAGATCACATCTCTCAGTCTCACCTGCAAGACACCACACGGAAATCGATCGTGGAAATTCAATTCGTTTTCCCTTAACAACGAGCTACAGTTTGCGGTGTTCGCCAATGTGATATCAATACTAACCTACTAGGCTGGAAAACTTTTGCTTCAGTCGTTTTTCAACAAGTTTGCAGTTTGCTCCGCTGCAGTGAGAGGTCCAGGACTTCCCTCAGGCTCCATCCGATGGGCGCTGCCCGGCGTCGGCCGCGCGCCCCACGTCCCGGGAGGCGAGTCCGGTGGGCGGCTGCGGGAAACCGTACCTCTGAGAGACGCCCAGGGCTCCCCGAGGACTTGGTGAACCACAACACAAATCGGTGATTCAAAGAAACACCTCAGGAGACTGCTTTCCAAAGACAGGTGCTGCCTTCACAAGGCTACGGTTCTCCAACGCCTCCAACTTTCACAGAACCTTTCCAAAAGCGGGTCGCTAGCAGCTCCGACCCCAGCCCCGCGCGCGCGTGTCCCAGAGACCGCGGGCGACCCCACCCGCAGCAGTCAGATCGCACTACACCCGCCCACCCCGCCGAGTCGCGGCGCAGCCAACACCTCCCCCACGTGCCCGCCTCCCTCAGCCAAGACGCTCACGATTGGCTGGCGGCGCCGCTCGTCGCGAGGGGAGGGCACGCCGTCCACAGGCCGGCGCTCCCATTGGTCGTGGCGGCGGCGGCAGCGTGCGAGGGCCCGGCGAAGAGGGGTAGCCGGTGGCGGCGGAACGGGCGGAGGCTGCCGGTTTCGTAACCGTCGCTCCTCCTCGCTGACTCGCGGGCTGCGAGGCCTGGGTCGGGTTGGGCCGCGCCGCGCGGGGCCGCTCGAAGTGGAGGCCGCCTGGGCACAGGCGGTCTGGAGGCGCAGGTAAGGAAGCCGCGGGCGGGCGGGCTGAGGGAGGAGAAGGTGGAGGCCGCGGCGCAGCCGGCCGCTCGCGTGGGCGCGGACCCGGCGCGAGGAGACCCAGCCCGGCCTGAGGCGGCCAGCTCGCCGGGAAGGCCCAGGGCGGCCCGCGGCGCGGGCGGTGGCCCCGCTTAGCGTCTGATGCAACCTGCCGGCAACACCCGACGGGCCGCTGAGCTCATCCCTGGCCGCGGCCCAGCGACGCCACCCCCGACCCCCGCGCTCCCCCGGGCGCCCCCTCGCTGCCGGCCCGGGACGGGGTGGAGGACGCGGTGTGCCCCTCCAGAAGCCGGCTCTCCGTTTGTGAAACGGGCAGTTGTGACAAGCCAGGCTCGTGTTGGCCCCCGGGGATAAAGGGTATTCCCAGAATAGCAGAAGGTGGACCGTGTCTTACTCTAGTGCCACACAGGCTATTTCCTGCCCCTCCAGAGCTGCCCAGTGTGGGTTAGTCGAGAATAATGCCTAGAAGTTAATGGAGTGATAATATAGGGAAAACAGTTGATTTTTAAGTACGTGACATTACAGAAATAATATGCTTACTTAAGGAACTATAATTTAAATATGTCCTGCAATTCACTGTTGAACATAGGTGAGATAATCGTACAGCGACCACGAGTTGAACAGAAAAGACAAGAACATAAAATGTAGCACTTGGTTAGCATGGTTGGAAACAGTATGGAAAATAGCAAGCAGAGGTGTCTAGATGGAGAGGATGGAAATGCATGTTTAAGGGGAAGGTAATCTCTGTTCTAAGTAAGCTTGTGTCTTTTTGTTTTTCGGAAGGTTAAATTTGTTTGGTTTCCTCCTATCTGAGGTTTATACTTAATCTGGTATTTTAAAATGTGTCAGTTTCAGGAAGGTTTTAATGTTGATGGATTACACAAAAATTGGTAGTTCATTTTCTGAGCCAACACTTAGTTGAATCCTTGTTTGAAGAGATTGTCCTTCAATTCAGGGAGGATATATGATTCCTAAAGAAATTATTGAAAGAAATACTGTAAGGGCTTGCATTACTAAGAAATTATGCATCTTGAAGTTCTTGATGTTTAAAAGTTAAATTCTGGTGAGTTATTACCACTTGAGTAGTATTTGGGCTAAGTTCTTTAAGTTGATTCTGTTTCTGGAAAGACTTTCTGTAAACAAAGATAATTACAAGATGCTAATGAACTGAGGAATTTTTCAATTTCTTGATTCCTCCTTCTGGTGGGCACACTTGGCTAATGCAGCCATTTTTAATATTTACCACAAAAACAGGTACAATTGAAACATTCTCTACGTTTTCAAGATCATATGATGACTGTCAGTAAGGTTGTCTGATCTTGGAGCGGTGGTTTCATCCCTAGGGTTTTAAACAGCGTGTGGTGAGTTCCTGATAAAAACAAATGGGACTTTGTGGGGCTGAATTTGGTCTTCTGGACCAAGATTGCCTCACCTGATCACAGTAATGCTAAATGCAGGTAGCCACAATCCAGATTTATTGTATATTCTTGAGAGGGGGTTGCTTCTGTGGGTTTTTTCCAGCCCCTAACAGTTAAAAAAAAAATTGTGTATGATCCAATTAGAAGTATAAACATGGTGTGTGTATGTATGTTTTGTATGTTGTAAATCACATCAAAAATAGGTTAAAAAGGTGACATAAAAACAAGACAAATGAACATTTTCTTCTCATACTCCAGTGGACCGCTTAAGTACTCCCTGAAGGGAAGCACCCTCCTTCATGGACTCCTGTTTTGGGTCATGAAGCAAGCAGTGGCAGCTAAATAGAAATCCTACTCATCTGGGTGTCGATGGGTTTTGACTGCTTACCTTGACTTGTGGTTCAGAGTTGTCAGACCCTGTTAAACACATGCCTAAGAATTTGAGGTGATTAATTGGAAACCACCTGGACTAAGTAGAAAATTGCAGCTGATATGAAGCAAAGACCACAGACAAGAATGATGTTTACTGTATAGCCTGGGGACAAGTAGCAGATAGAACTGTATTTTAATTTCTGTACACCTTTAAGAAAGACCATGAACTTTAGGTAGGTAGTAAGACTGTAATATTTTAGTAACACTCTTTATTAAATTGTACTTGTTTCTTTTAGGAGATTTCAGTGCTAGCGAATCTCGTTTTTTATATAATACTTTTATACAAATAAATGTTTTCTGTTAGCCTTTTCAATTTGTACTCAACATATATTTCTAGAGCAGTACGGCTATATGCCTTACCCTGCATTAGATCTGGGCGTGTGGAGACGAAGACAGAGTCCTGCCTTTAGCTTAGTCTGCAGGGAGACAAACTGGAGCTAGAGTTGAAAAGGAAATGGGGGAACTAATTGGATAGAAGCACAAAGAAGAAAGCACGGACCATTTAAGGGACCAAATGATGGTTCAGTATTGTTGAAGTGTGAAGTGTAAGGGAGCAGGGCCTGGAGCGTGGGTTTAATACTCTGGATTTGATCCTGTACACTAGAGCCACAGAAGAATTTTTAGCAAGAGAGTGTGACATACTCTTGAGTGTAAGATTGCTGTGGAGATAGTGGTAGGAGGGAATACTGCTAAACCAGAGGAGACTAGTGCCCCTGAGAGATGATGGCAGTGTGAGGTAATTCTGTCATGATGGGATGGAGAAAGGTGGTGGATGTGAGTTCTTTTTTATGTGTGGTGGGGAACTATCAGGTACTAGTGATAGTGAACAAGGGATTTTGAACAAGGGAGAATATTTTGGAGTATAGGTCTTCACTGAGGAAGTTTGAGTTAAAAAATTTATTTTATGGGGGCATGGGGAGGAATATCTAGTTGTACATATGTGAAAAAATGACAGGTGGATTAGGAAAATTCTTGACAGGTTTATTGTCCCAAATGAAACTTGAGAAAATTTTTTTTGTTTTACTCATTCTTTCATTCGGAGTTTTCATTTTTTTATGAATTTGAATGAATATTGAGTTAAGACATTTAAATTTTAAAAAATGTTCCTTACTTAGTTTTTTTAAGATCCATTATTAATCTGTAGCCCAATTCCTAGAGCTCTTGATTCCTGCGGGTGGGGCAGCTTGTGAATTTGCATTTCTAACAAGTTCTCAAATGATAATGGTGCTGGTCCAGGAACCACACTTTGAGAACTGCTGCTCTTTAGTTTTCTGCTTCCTGCTTGAATGATTCGCATGCAAGGAAACAAGGCACCACCCTACTTCCTGTGGAATCAACTGTTGAACAGTATTTGTCCACATAGGAGCCAGACTTAAATTTAGGGTTGAGTATCCAGATTTGAAATAATATTTTTGCCTATTGTATGTACTCAGTAAATGTTTCTGGAAGGAACAAAAGCTCAAATGAAGTGTAAACTGTAAAATGTGTAACTTTTGGAGGCTTCTGTTTTGCTCAGTGCAAAAATTGGTCGTCTGTTCAGCATTCAGTCTTAGACCATTTAGCTCTTGACCTCCTTTACTTGTTTCATTTTTCTTAATGGATGTCTCTTCACTTCAAGAGCTATTTTCTTTGGTTGAAGAACTTCAAAAAAAATATTTTTTGGGTTCTTTTTATTATCTCCAAGGTTCCCTTTCTTACATTTTTACCAGTTTGATGATTGCACCTTGTTTTTCAAGCCAAAGGGCTCATTATCAAAACCTCGCCTATTTAGTTCAGCCTACTTGCCTTGGCATGATGAGTCAGCCTGTGGGAAAAGGGCCCTTCCCTATTCCTGTATCTTTGAGTGTGAACATTACTGAATTTAGAACCTGTAGTAAAGAGTTTTTGGTGACTGAAGTTCATGTATTTTGTCAAACTCAGAGGGCATCTTATTCTACATCCTTCATTTGCAAATGGGGAAATCAAGGTCCATAGAAGAGAAAGGATAAGTCCAAAGTGAAATGCAGAGTCAGAGCCAAGTCAAGACTTGACCTGGTTCCTGGTCTGTACTTCTTTGGATCATTTGTTATCTCCGAGTTAACTAGAGATTAGCTTTTAAGACTAAAAACATAATTGGCATAGGAAAATAAAAAATAAGGTAAATAAGAGGAATATGATCATGATTGTTAAGACTATTCCAGAAGAGGTGTAAAATGAAACAAGTTCTTAAAAATTGAATAAAATACTTAGTGTTCAATTTGCATTAGATGAGTGAAAGTATAAATGACTACTGACACTGTTAGAGGGAAGGGTGGCTCAAATTAATACTGACACCACTTTTTAAAATTTATTTTTTATTTTTTATTTTGGTATCATTAATCTACAATTACAGAAAGAACATTATGTTTACTAGGTTCCCCCCTTCACCAAGTCCCCCCAACATGCCCCTGCACAGTCACTGTCCATCTGCGTAGTAAGATGCTGTAAAATCACTACTTGTCTTCTCTGTGTTGCGCAGCCCTCCGCGTGCCCCCCACGCACTATACATGCTAATTGTAATGCCCTCTTTATTTTTCCCCGCCCTTATCCCTCCCTTCCCACCCATCGTCCCCAGTCCCTTTCCCTTTGGTAACTATTAGTCCATTCTTGGGTTCTGTGATTCTGCTGCTGTTTTGTTCCTTCAGTTTTCCTTTGTTCTTATACTCCACATATGAGTGAAATCATTTGGTACTTGTCCTTCTCTGCTTGGCTTATTTCACTGAGCATAATACCCTCTAGCTCCATCCATGTTGTTGCGAATGGTAGGATCTGTTTTTTTCTTATGGCTGCGTAATATTCCATTGTGTATATGTACCACATCTTCTTTATCCATTCATCTACTGATGGACATTTAGGTTGCTCTGACACCACTTTTTAACTGGAAGGAAAAGTGGGCAACATAATAAATTATCAAGGGAAATTGTGCAGTGTCCATTACTGACAATAGACTTGGTAGATACCATCCATCATGGTTTAGAAGCTTTCCATCTTGCCTTGGTACTACTGGAGTAAGAACAGATGACCCACTAGCTCAGGGCTGCCTGTGTGGCTTTAAAAACAATAGAAAGTAGTGAGTGATACATGGACTGCTTTAAAAGCAAAGATTTAATAAAAGCAGACCAACAAAGTATACAGAAATACCTGGCTGAAGATTTGGTGAAGCTACTGGTGTTTATACTAACTGAGCTTTTCTTAACTGTGAGATGTACTTATTTGAGGCATTTCATAATTCTGGCTCCAGGTTTTTTCTAATGATGTATCTAGCAATTATGTGAGAAGAGAACAAGACAGTTTTAAGATTTTTAACACTGCTTTCTAAATTTTCAAGAAGGCTGTGACTTCTTGGTGGACATGGTTCCCTTAGGCAGTTTGTCTTGGGGTGGCCTTGTGATGATAAAATAGGTACTTATGTTTTGACACATCTGGAGGCAGTTGTAGTGACCTAGTAGGATTCATAGTAATCCACAATATGACTGGCTTCTGAAACTGTGAGTTCATTTCTACAGCAGCACTATACTAATGCTTCAGAATTGGCAGGTCCTCTGAGCCCCTTCAGCAGCGTGAATGGTTGCAGGTACTGTGGCTGCTCTGGCTCTGCATCTGGCCTGAGTAGCAGTACTTGAACTTCCTTGGACGCATCATTAGAGCTGTTGTTTCTTCCCTTGTGCTTTCAGATTGCCTGTGTTTAGATGTGTCTATTAATTATGTCAAGAAAAAAACACTCTTAGAAGAATTGTGGGATTGGGAAACAAATTGGGTGTCTCAGAGCCCCTAAAATCTATGACTCAAGAAACTAACTTAGGAAAGCTCTGTAACCAACTATCATTTGAGGTCATTAAAAAAATAAAAACAAGCAAAAGACACCTTTGTAAAATATTCCATAAAGATATGCTCTGTGAGAACAGTCAGGTGCTTCCTTGATGACTTACTCTCTGCATATGAGAATAAGGAACACACACAGATCATAATATAGTATTCCTGATGAATACTGGGGGGAGGACTCTGCCTCTAGCATTCTTTTTTGACTTGAACAACAGTTGAAACTTCCCCTTTCATTGCAAGTATCTCTTCTATAATTGAACTCAACTTCCATATTTAACCCAAATATCTCAAATTTCTCTCTGGCAGATTGCCAAGTGCCATTAGTTTATATGTGCTATCTAATTGGTGGTGTTCTTTTGTTTTCCTCCCATTTTTGGTAAGTCACAGATGGGCAGCACCCTCTGGGATTCAGGGGGCTGAATCTGGCCGTATGGCGCTTCTGTACTACCTTACCTTCCTAAATTCAATGACTTAGACTTCTGAAACATTGAAACAGTTGGCAGTTGCTATAGATTTTTCTCAGCATAATCAATGTTGGCTTGCTCTCAGGTACATGCAAGTTTAATCTTACTTGATCTTGTCATTTCAAACATTTTAATGCAATTTATTTTTTTTAACTAGGTACATGTGAAGATTTCTTGGCAGTTTAGTGTGGAAGCCATTGATCACCTTGCCTCATTTCTGCCTGTTCTGTGTTGGCAAGGGAGAGTGCCCAAATGAGCAAGATCTCGCAGCAGAGCAGTAGTACTCCAGGAGTGAACGGAATAAGTGTTATTCACACTCAGGCTCATGCCAGTGGCTTACAGCAGGTTCCTCAGCTGATGCCTGCTGGCCCTGGGGGAGGAGGCAAAGCTGTGCCTCCAAGCAAGCAAAGTAAAAAGAGTTCACCTATGGATCGAAACAGTGACGAGTATCGTCAGCGCAGAGAGAGGAACAACATGGCTGTGAAAAAGAGCCGGTTGAAAAGCAAGCAGAAAGCACAGGATACACTGCAGAGAGTGAATCAGCTCAAAGAAGAGAACGAACGGTTGGAAGCAAAGATTAAATTGCTGACTAAGGAATTAAGTGTACTGAAAGATTTGTTTCTTGAGCATGCACACAACCTAGCAGATAACGTGCAACCTAGTAGCACTGAAAACACAACAAATTCTGATAATGCAGGAAAGTAGACCTCACTCCTCCAAACTTCACAACTTGTGGCTTGAACGTTAAAGGTGTGATTACCTACACCATTCTTATCAATGGCTGAACATTGTCTTGTTCCATTATTCAAAGATCCACTGAAGGTTTTCTAGGATCAGCACTGAAGAGTTGATTAGCTAAAAATGTTAGCCATGAATATCTGGTTTTAAATCATGGATTTTTGTGGGGATGAAAACACAAATTTTTTAGGTATATGGTAAAAAAAAAAATGCCCTGGACCTTGCTGTTCTTAATAAATCCCATTTTCTGAAGAAATGCTTCTTTTTTAGGTTGACAAAAGGAGTGGGGAACTGGCAGGTCACTGCAGAAGGTTCTTGGTTTTAATGGATATGGTTAATTGGATTAAGAAAAGTTGAATGCTATCTGTGTTAATCTACTTGTGAATTTTTCTAAATTATGTATGAAAAATCCTTAGGGTCGTAGAAACCAATCAGTTTTTAATTTGGAGTGATTATATGTATGGCATAAACCTTATTTTAGCATAATTAGTACTGTTTTCCCCAACAAGTACAAGTTTTTGAATAGTGTAGTCAGGTTAAGTAAAGAAATCCATTGTATTTAAAGAAACCCATTAAGGCAGTATGTAGCCAGTTGGCTTAAAAATACAAGTAACGT